AAAAAAAAAAGAGGGGCCGGCCCGGTGGCGCGCTGCTACAGTGCGCCGCTTGCGAGCGCAGCGGCGCTCTCGCCGAGGGTTCGGATCCCACATACAGACCGGTTCCCGCTCACTGGCTGAGCGAGGTGCGGGTGCAGCACCGAGGGTTGCGATCCCGTTGCCGGTCCCGGTCTGGTATGGGCGCGACACTGAGGGTTGCGATCCGTTGTCGGACACGAAAAAAGACAAAAAGGAAAAAAAAAAAAAAAAGAAAAGAATTCAACTCTGCATCCCACAAATATGAACCATCAATTTATGTTTCAACAAAAAAATGAATAACAACAACTAAAGAATGCATTTGACGGGCTTGCTAGTAGACTGGACACAGCCCAAGAAAGACTCAGTGAGCTTGAAGAAACACTGAAATGGAAATGGTAAGACAGAAGAAAAAGGAAAGTAAATGAAAAAGATAAAATGGAATTCCAAGAACTATGAGACAATTACAAAAAAATTAACATACACATACACAAACATATGGGAATACATTTAATAGGAATACCACAAGAAAAAAAACCAGAAGAAATATTTCAATCAATGACGGACATCAAATCACAGATCCAGGAACTCAGAGAAAACAATGTAGGATAAATACCAAAAAAAATCAACATATAGGCATATATTCAATTGGCAGAAAATAAAAGAAAAAGAGAAAATCTTGAAGGAAGTGGGAAAAGAAAACCCTACCTAAAGAGGGCAATAAGAAGTACATCAGACATCTTTTCAAACACAAACAAGAAGAGTGAAATATTTAAAGTGTTGTAAAACTCACTCTTTAACTCTGAATTTTGTATTCAATGAAATTATCCTTCAAAAGTGAAAAAGAAAGATGATTTTCTCAAAGAAACAAACAAAAAAATTGAGAAAACTTGTTGCCAGTAGACCTGAAGAAATGTTAAATATTTCAGAAAGAAAAAATGATGTAGATAAGAAAACTAGGATCTACAAAGAAAGAAAATTACAGTAGCAATAATTAAGACAAATAAGTAATTTTTATTTTTTTTGTTCTTATTGATTTAACATAAAAACATGTTCAAAATAATCACTGAAACAGTGCTTTGGTTTGTTACGGAGTTTGGATGTGTTGTCCCCTCCAAAACTCATGCAGAAATTTGATCTCCAATGTGGCAGTGTTGGAAACTGATTGAGTCATGGGGGTGTATCCCTCATGAATGGATTAATATTCTCCCTGGGGAAGGGAGGATTAATGAGTGAGTTCCCACAAGAGCTTATTGTTTATAGGACCTTGGCACCTCCTCTCTCTCTCTTGCTTCCTCTTGCCATGTGATTTGCTTGTACTTGCCGGCTACCTGCCACTTTCTGCCACGAGTAAAAGCAGCCTGAGGCCCATGCCAGATGCAGCTCTCCCAGAATCATAAGCCAAATATACCTCTTTTCTTTATAAATTACCCAGTCTCAGGTGTTTCTGTTATAGCAACACAATAACGGACTAAAACAGTTTGGTAAGCATAATCTATGGATAAGTAAAATGAATGGCAGCAGTGTTATAAGGGACAAGAGGGAGGAATACGGAATTCTCTTGCATAACCCACGAACTGCTATGGTGTTCTTTATAAGAGTAGAATTAGCTGTAAATTTATATTGCAAATTCAAGGGTAACCACTTGAAAAATAATTAAGGCAGTATAAATGATACGTCGAGAGAAGAAAATAATGGAATCAGATAAAATTGCTCAATTAAAACTAGAATAGCAGAAGAACTGGAAGAAAATCAAGAACAAGGATTGATTGATTAATGAAATAATTAATCCAAAGACATCATTAATCACTTTAAACATCAAAGGTTGATATACACCAAATAAAAGACAAACACTGCCAGTGTATAAAAGATAAGCGTCAACTACACGTTGCTACAAGAAACCCACTTTAAAATAAAGACGTAGAGTGAAATGATGGAGAAGATACACTATGCTAACAGTAATCAAAACAAAGCAGAAGTGGCTATATTAATTTCAGACAGAGCAGACCTCAGGACAAGGAAAGTTTATCAGGGATAAAGAGGGGCATCACATAAAAAAGACATTAACAATACTTAATTCACATGCACATAACAAGACAGTCTCAAAATACATGAAACAAAAGCTAACAGAACTGCAAGAGAAGCAGAGGGATCCACTATTTTAGTTAGAGAATTTAAAACCACCCTATCAGTAATGAACAGATCTGGCAGGAACAAAATCAGTAAGGATACAGTTAAACTGAAGAGCACCATCAATCAAATGGATTAATCAACATCTACAGAATACTTCACTCATCAACTACAGATACATATTCTTCTCAAGTTCACCTGCAACATCCACTAAGAAGATTTCTGGGACATGAAGCACACCTTAACAAATTTAGAAGGGCATTATCTTGATAACAAAGACAGGCAAATATACTGCAAGAAAAAAAATACTTCTTAAGAATATAGATACACGACAATCAACAAAATACTAGCAGCCAAATTCGGTAGAAAATGTGAAGTATGAAATACTATGACCAAATGAAATTTATCCCAAGATTGTAAGGATGGTTAAATATATGAATCAATTTTTAATATACCACATAAATACAATAAAGGAAATAATCACATGACCAACTCTGTTGATCCAGAAAAATCATCTGAACAAATTTCAACACCTTTTCATGAAAAAAGTTAATAAATTAGAAATATAAGGAAATTTTCTCAATAGAATAAAGACCCTATATGAAAAACCTACAGCACACACCACTCAATCATGAAAGACTGAAAGCTTTTCCTATGGCAGGAATACAACATGCCTGCTCTTACACTTTCATTTGTTCAATTGTTCTGGGACATGAAGCACACTTTCACAAATTTAAAAGAATGGAAATCATACAAAATATATTCTCAGATTACAATGGAATTAAGCTATAAATTTGTAAAGGGGAACAGGAGAATTAAACAAGAAAAGGAAAAATAAAACTAATCCAAAAAAGAAAGGAAGAAGTAAAAACTATCTTATCAGTAAATGACATTATCTTATATCAAGAAATTTCTAAACAACTCAAAGAAATTCAACAAAATTATAGGATACAGAAATCAAAACACAAAGATCAGCTGTATTTCTATATACTAGCAATGAATATCCCAAAAGGAAATTAACAATTCCACCTCCAGTAACAACAAAAGAGACGAAATACTTAGGAATAACCTAACCAAGAGGTAAAGAATATTGAAAGAAATGAGTAAGACCTAAGCAAATGAAAAGGCATCCCATGTTCAAGGACTGTAAGACCTAATACTGTTAAAATGGTAATATTACCCACAAAGTAATCTACAGATTTAATGCAATCCCTTCCAATATTGTAATGATCTTCCCCCCGCCCCAGAACTGGAAAAACCCAGTTTAAAATTTATGTCAATTACCATAGGACCCAGATGTCTACAACAACTTTGTAAAAGAAGAAAGTCTGATGACTCACATTCACAATGTTAAACTTACTACAAAGCTAAAGTAATCAGAACAGCATGGTACTGGCCTAAGGACACACATAAACACCAGAAGAACAGAAATAAACCCGCATATCTTTTGGTCAACTGATTTTCCACAAGATGCCAAGACCATTCAATGTAGTAAGAACATTCTTCAAACACAGTGTTGGGAAAACTGGATAGTCACATGAAAAAGAATGAAGTTGGACACTTACCTAACTTCATATACAACACCCCCCCCCCCAAATGGGTTAAAAACCTAAAATTAAGAACTATAAATGTATAAAATTCTTAGACAACAAAAAAAGAGCAAATAATTTTTATGCTTTGTTTGGCAATGGTTTCTACATATTGGTCAAAAAAAGCAGAGTCAATGAAAGCAAAAATAGATAAAACTGGACTTCCTCAAAATTAAAAGTCAAGAACAAAAAATAAATAACCCAACTCAAAAATGGGGTAAAGACCTGAACATATATTCTTTCAAGGAAAATATACAAGTGGCAAATAAATAAGCACATGAGAAAATGCTCAATATCACTCCATTCAGTCATTAGGGAAATACAAATGAAAAGTACAATGATAGGTATATACCACACTCACTAGAATGGCTATTATCAAAAACTGAGAAAATAATTATTGTGGGAAAGAACGTGGAGAAATTGGAATCTGTATAAATTAATGGTAGGTGTGTAAAATGGTGAAGCTATTTTGAGGATCCTCAAAAAGTTAAAACACTTATTTACCATATCCATAACCCAGCATATACATTCCTAGGCATATAAGCAATGAGAACAGGGACTCAGAAAGATATTTGTGTTCAAAGCTCTGTTCAGAGCAATGCTATCCATAATAGCTAAAAGGTAGAAACAATGCAAAGTGCCCTCCAACAGATCACTGTACAACAGAATATTATTCGATTTAAAAATGAATCAAGTTCTAACACATGCTGTAACATGAACCATGAAAACATTATGCTAAGCTAAACAAAACAGACATAAAATAACCAACTTTGTATGATTCCATTTATATGAGGTACCTAAGATAGGCAAATTTATAGAAAAGAAATGTACATTAGAGGTTACCGAATACTGAAAAGTTGAAAAAAATGGGGGTTATTGCTTAAAAGAATTTGTTTGGGGTAATAAAAAAAATCTGGAAATATGTAGTGGTGATTATTGCACACTATTGTGAATATACTTAATGCCACTGAATTGTCTACTTAAAAGATGTTAAAATGGTTAATTTTTGTTATATATAATTTATACATATTACCACAATAAAAAAAATTGTTAAAAAAAAATTAGTGATGGTATCTTGCAAAAAAGCCCAAATTTAGGTTAAGTGAAACATGTTAAATAAAATTCTCCTAGACATCAAGGGTTTAAGTAAACAAGAAAAAGACTTCATACTTGAGTTCTGGGATAAATTTTCTTCAAAATTAATTCACTTCTGCCTAAAAAATAAGGTCACACTTCTCCAAATTAAAAAGAAAAAAAGTCACTTACTTGCTGGGACAGTGCAATAGTAAGTCAATGATGAACATATGCCAGTCTTTTTCTTTACTAAGTGCATCCAAGGCTGTCGGAATTAAAGCAAAACATAATGTCATCACTTCCAATGCTTCACAGCAAACCTGTTCATCTTCCACCTCCGGTTCTTTTCTTGCACTAGCGGTCTGAAAAATTATAATCAGGAGCAAATTACCTAGAGATATACTAAAGAAAGAATTCACAAACCTAGATAACACTTAAAATTACCTACTCTCAAAAGAACATTTGGCCTAAGACTCTTCACATGCAGCTACAGAAGCCCTTTGGAATATATCCCCAGCAGTTCAGGAAAGGTGTGAAAGACTTTTGCAACCTTAAGTATACCCAAGTATTTAGCTAATAAGTTTTAATCTGCCTATATCCATCAAAATATAATCAATACATATGTCTGAAACAGAGTAAGCATTAAAATATTATAAAAAGGGAAGCTGTACAATGTAATTACCCACTTTCTCTTTTTAAATATACAGAAGTGACTACCAAGGGCAGGTAAATATAATAGAAAATTAGAGAGCTAAACACAGTCTCTTTTCCACAAATAATTTCCTTCACCTACCAGAGGGATAGGGTAATACATAAATAGTGGACTTTTCTTGCTTTTCAGTGTTCTAAAAGAACCAATTAAAATACCTAAATGCCATGATTACCAATAACCAAAAATTTATATAGAACAAAAAGACAAAGAAAAAAAATTACTAAAGAGAACTGGAAAAGACAGATTCATTATAGTATAACTATACTCAATTCAATGAGAAGTTTACAAAAATAATTTCAGAAGAAAGCTGCCTTATGGCAAGATCCTGAAGAATTTTATTTTCAAAATAAAATTGAATATATTCTTGTTTTATCTGTAGGTAGTAGTTAATTTTAAACAATTAGATACAAGTGGCTTGGTCTTTAAAGATGGTAGATCTGATGAAAATTTAGTCATATATACAATTAAGCAAACTTTACTTAAAAATAATATATTTATGTAGCAATTCTTACCATCTCATAAATTCTTACCATCTCTAATCACACAAATATCAGGCATATATCTTGAAGCCTGCAAGAAAATGAGTAATGGAAAGTGCTGACAGAATATTATAGTGAAATAATCAGAAAAACACAATGTTTCTCTTTGTGAAAGTAGTGGAAGAAATGGCTGTAAAAGAAAGAAATATGCCTCAGACTGCCTTTAAGGTCCAAAGTGGCATTGGCCCGTTTTTATTGTATCTTAGTAACAAGTTATATATATGACTTACCATAAGAAGGGAAGACATGTTTAACAGCAATACCCACAAAGTATGCTTTATGTTAAGATCTGATACAGCTCTACACTAGTTTTCATAAATACTTTTAAACACACAAAAAACACAGATTACGCAGCCATTCTACTCACAGACATTTATCTAAGAGATACAAAAAAATATATTCACAGAAGCAATCTGATCTGTTGATAAATTTCATAACAGCTTTATTCCCAACAGTCAAAAACTAGTAATAACTGAAATGTCCATCAACAGATGAATGGATTAAAAACATCTGAATTAACCATAAAATGGAATATTACTCTAAGTGGAAGAAACTACAGACATAACACAACCTGGGTAACAAACACAAGAGTACAAAGTATGATTCCACTTATGTAAAATTTAAGAAAATAAATACTATTCTACACTGACAAAAAGCAGATCAGTTGTTGCTGGGGGCAGGGGCAGAAAGAAGTATATAGTGCACAGGGTCACAAGAAAACTTCTAAGGCCAACAGACATATTCTGTTCCTGGACTGTATCAGTAGTTTAAACATCTATCAAAACTTAATTTGATCTAATTTATGTAATGTAAATTACCACTCAAAAAAAAAACTTGTTTAGAAAAATTTTAAAGTAATTTTGAAAGCATTAATATTAATAATACCAGACTAAATATAACTTTATGAAACTTTAGGTAAATTAAGATAGAGACTGAAATGTTGTCTCAGAATATTTAACATCAAATTGGGATAAGCTTTATTTATGAGTAATTAGAAACCATGGAGGATCCCACAGCTTCCAAAGTTTAACACTAACCTCATCAGATATTTGCTGAGCAAGACGTAGCGATACATTTCTAAGCATGCACTCAGATGAAGGATTAGGAATGCTCTGAAGGGCATTTTGTAGCACTACTGCTTGATCATGAGTAACTTGGTTAATCTGAAAAAAGTTAATCGTTTTACTTCAAGTAAAAAACTTGTAAATAACTATATTCCAAAAATGTGTACATAACAAAGACCCAATCATTTGTTCCTAAACCGTCACCACCTCAGGATGTTATGCTTTCATATATCCCATGTAGAAATTATGGCAGTGTGTATAAAAAGCATTTCAGATTGCCAACACTGTAGACTTTCTCTTTTAGTTGCCTTTCACAGTGACAATACTTCTCTGCAAACTCCAATTATAGATGAGTTTTATATTGTTTCTAAAACTGGGTTCACTTTCAATGTAGGGGATAAATGACACAATCTTTTCTTTTTAACCCGTACACTCATAAAAGACGGAACTCTGAACAAACATTTTACATGATGCTGTGCAGATCCTTCTCCTAGTCTCTCCCCTTTAAACAGATGACTATGCCTACCATGATATGGTAGAGAAAATGGAGGTCCCAACTAAATAGTTCTTCTATTTCTTCAGTACACTGCACTACCTTCCACTTCAGTTAAGAAACTAAGAAACATTTTGTGCTACATAAAAAGCAAATGTAGCAGCAGTGGTAAAAGTACAGTTTCAGGGCCGGCCCGGTGGCACATACGGTAGAGTGCGGCGCTTGGGAGCGCGGCAGCGCTCCCACCGAGGGTTCGGATCACATATAGAGACCGGTCCGCTCACTGGTTGAGCGCAGTGCGGACGTGACGCCGAGGGTTGCGATCCCGTTACCGGTCACAAAAAAAGACAAAAAGGAAAAAAAAAAAAAGTACAGTTTCAGTGTTAGCCTGTTTCACTGAGATTTTATCTCAGTTCATTGTTACTATATAGGACCAAGCTACTTGATCACTTTAGGTCTTAATTTTCACTTACAAAACAGGAAGTAATAGTAGTGACCCACTGAATATGGTCATCTAAGTGACTACATGAAATAAACCATGGTGACAGCACAGAAGAGCCCCAATATGTTTTCACCATTATTTACCAGTAAACTAATTTGAATGCAGACAGAAACTATGTAAGCTTGGCTTTACACTGCATCTATAGCAATATCTGGCATATTGTAGATGCACAGCTGATATCTGTTGAATGAATAAAAAGTTATATATAATGTTTTAAAATTGCTACTTCAATTTAACTAATCCAATTAGTTTATTTTTATTTATTTATTTTTTTTGTCTTTTGTCTTTTTTTCCTTGTCCGGCAACGGCCCGCAACCCTCAGTGTTGCCCCCGCACCGGACCAGGGACCGGCAACGGGATTGCAAACCTCGGTGTTGCTCCCGCGCCTCGCTCAGCCAGTGAGCGGGAACCGGTCTGTATGTGGGATCCGAACCCTCGGGCGGGAGCGCCGCCGCGCTTCCCAAGCGGCGCACTATCCAGTGCGCCACTGGGCCGGCCCCAATTAGTTTATTTTTTAAGTCAGCAAAGTCTTGTGACACTTGTTCTTACACTGAAACTGTCTTATGTTCACCATTTTCCAATTCAACTCAACAAACTGAGATGAAGTCTTAAGAATGTTCTGAATTACAAAAATAACTGCTTTTCCTACAGCACTGTGAGAGCCAAATACTCTCTATTCAAAAACTCTTCTAAAGTCTCATGCAAAAGGAATTATGTTAAATGAAATATAACAGAATGTACTTCATTAAGCTCCTATAGGAAAGATCATTATAAGAATCTACCTGTTTTTATGTAAATATGCCTGGAACCCACAATACAAAGCAATTAAACTTACTCAGGAAGGGTCTGAGCTTTGTAAATTCCTATTCTAAATGTGCATGTTCGAAACCTCTACTTCTATTCTTTAACCCTTAATGGAAAATTTCAAAAATTTATAATTATAGAGAATACAATAAAGCTTTTATTACTCAGTATCTCACTTTAATAATTATTAGAAAAAGGCTAAACTTGTTCCACTGACTCCCCTACTCCCTATATCTACTCCTACGACCCCAGTTTTATTTTGAAGTAAATCCCCTTTTCTTTTATATAATACTAACTTTCACATCCAAAATAAAATTAATTTAAATAAGTAAACTCAATTTCAGTTAGGACTGAACTTTTGCATCAAATCTAAGCATATCTTGAGAACTGTTGATTACATGTGTCAGAGATGACAGCAAAACAAAGTTGTCATGGTGGGAAGAGTTACTGGCAGCATGCCAATTACATCGTTTCCTTTGCAATGACCTGTCTTTCTATTTCTTTCAGGTATGACTTAACAAAATATTTAGGTAAATTAATGTAGTCACTAGCCAATATTACTCTTTTAAACAAACATAACTTATTAGAAGAAAACCTCTATTCTACATTTCAAATCAAGTTTGCACCTCCTTCTGAAGGGTCACTGAGTTTATCTTTAAAAATCAAACACTAAAAATAAAACTTGTTTCAAAAGATTTCTTAGCATTTATTACCGGTGTTATAGGGTCTGCACCATCTGCAACTGGCTGACAAGCTTCTGCTACAGCTCGAACATGGCCATAGCCAATGGCAGTTAACAACAGTTTGGCTATTTTAAGAGCATTGAAGTAAACACCCTTTCGAGTTTCTGTATCTGTATTTGGTAAGAAGTTACTTCTTATTAGCATACTCAGTACAAGGTGTAAGCCACCACTTTTCAAGAAGTGAAACTGAAAGTCAGTGGAACGATCAGCCAGAGATATACCAGCAGGCATTAACAAGGCATAAACCACTTGAAAAACCAAAGAGAAGACTATGTTAAAAAGTATTTAAGAAAATAACTTAGTAACATTTATTTCTTCTTTCATCATTGCTAAGAAATTCTTGACTATTTAAAAAAATTTCTTTACAATCTTATATATGTTCCTAATATTCCTCTATAATGTAAAAATTATATTTTTATAAAGAAAAAACCAACCTCTGTTAGGTACAGAACTTGAGAGGCAGAAGGACCAAAGAAAAGTGAGTTAAGAGATGGATCAAGGTTACTTTCTCCAAGTTTTGCATAGTCCAAACAAATAGCTCTTAATTTTTGTATAGTTGTGCTATCTGTAAAGAAAAAAGACACAGCATAATGTAAAATATAATTCATGTGTTCTTTATTTCACATTTGATACGCTGAAGGGAATTACCTTAAACACAAATTAATTCCAATAAATATCAATTAGGCTGAGCTATAAGATCAAATGTTACAATAACCAGACCCGAACTAATGAATGATCAACAAGGGCTCTTTAATCAATAACCCAAAATATGAAGGGAACAGTTTCCTATCCAGAAACCTCAAATCAACATGTAACCCTTCATCTACTGAAGACAGAAAAAAAAAAAAAAAAAAAAAAAAAATACACTACACTGAAAAAGAAATTAGTTCTTCTTGAAATACATAGTACACAAGCACCTCCCACTTAACATTCAATAATAAAAAGACAAATAACCCAAATTTAAAATGAGAAAGAGATGTGACTAAAACTAATTCCTAAGAAGTTATACAAATGGCTAGGGAGGACATGAAAAACTGCTCAACATCATTAGCCACCAAGGAAATACAGTTCAAAACCACACAGAGATACTACTTCAACACAACTAGCATGGGATAATCGAATCAAAAAAACAGTTAATATGTGTTGGTGAAGATGTGGAGAAATTGGAATCCTTGTATGTACTTATTTGTAGGAATATAAAATGGTACAGCCACTTTGGAAAAGAATGGCAGTTAACCAACAAGTCAAACATAGAGTTACCATATCACCCAGCAATTCCTCTCCCAGATATAAAGCTAAGAGAATGCAAGCATAAGTCCACACCAAAATTTGTATACAAATGTTCATAGAGGTATTATTCATAACAGTCCAAAAGTGCAAACAACCCAAGTGTCCATCAACAAATGAATGGATAGATAAAATGTGGTATATACAAGCAAAGAAATATTCAGCCTTAAAAAGAAAGAAAATTCTGACACATGCTACAAGATGGATGAACCTTGAGGACACTATGCGAAATGAAATCAACCAGCCACAAAAAGACAATTACTAATGACTACATTTATGTGAGGTAGAGTGGCAGCACTCACAGAAACAGAAAGTAGAATCATGGTTGCCAAGGCTGGTGTGGAGGGAGAAATGGGGAGCTGTTTTTACCAGGTACAAAGTTTTAGTCTTGCAAGATGAAAATATTCTAGAGACTGGTTAACAACAATGTGAATGAATACACTTACCACCACTGGACTGTACACTTTAAACTAGTTAAGATGGTAAATTTTATGAGTACTTTACTACAATTTTTTTAAAGTGCATTACCTGATTATAGCGATCAGAAAGCATATAAAGCCCAATTTGAGAGACAGCAAATAAAAACTGGTCTGTTCTTTTTAAAAATGTCAATGTAAATTAAAGACGTTACAACATCTGATTTCGATAACATTTTCTGTGGTTATGTAAGAGAAATGTTCTTGTTCTCAGGAGACATGCTTAGATACTTAGGTAAAAAAGATATTTAGGTCAAAATGCATAATAGGTATCTACACCTCACTCTCCAAATGTTAAAACAAAATTATACAGTGTATGACACAGTAAATGTGACAAATGCTAACAATTATTTGCAACTGATTTGATTAGAGGGAACATAAACTTTGAACCCTAACTAAGCAATGTTATTCCTCCCCTGAAAAATTCCATATTCTCATCAGCAGAACTGTATCATGAAAAGAAAGGACTAAACTTTTATAGTTTGAATTTAATTAATAAAATTTTTTGGAAATTCTTCTCTTACATGAGTACCTACATAATATCCTTGAATTTACTTGCCTCTTGAATCACAAAGCCTAAAATACTGCAAAAAAAGTTTTCCAATATTCATTCTCTAAAGAACATTAATGGAGTAACCGATGAAACTTAAATAAGGACAGTTGATTTGATTGTAGAAATACATCAATATTACCTCTCTGGTTTAGATGTTTACATTGTTGTTATGTAGGTGAATGTCCTCACTTTAAAGAAACACACATTACAGTATTTGGGGAGTAGAAGGACATCAAACCAATAAATTCTTATATAATTTAAGGAAGAAAAAATATTTGTATTGTATTTCTTTTTAGTCTAGCTTTGTGATTACCTCAATAATAATACATGCATGATTTGCTGAACACGACGTGGCAGAAAACAAATATCCTAAAATATCAGCAACACCATAAATTATTCATAAAATAAAAACAGAACCCACAAAGAGTCAATTAAAGATTTAGACCAACAAAATGTCCCCCCAAACCAGAACAGAGTAAGAGAATCAAAACATTAAAAATATTTAGATTTACTAAACTGATCACCATGTTCAAAAGCATAAAAATTTTTCAAAAGCACAAAGCAATGAGAAGAACATGGGCAAAGCAAAAATACAAATCTCCCGCAATTCAAGAAAAATCAGTCACTCAAATGACAAGTACTGTTGAGTACCCAGTATATAAAACAAACAAAATCAGGGCCGGCCCCGGTGGCGCACTGCTACAGTGCGCCGCTTGGGATTCGGATCCCACATACAGACCGGTTCCCGCTCACTGGCTGAGCGAGGTGTGGGCGCAACACCGAGGGTTGCGATCCCGTTGCCGGTCCCGGTCCGGTAAGGGCGCGACACTGAGGGTTGCGATCCGTTGCCAGACACGAAAAAAGACAAAAAAGGAAAAAAAATAAAAAATAAAAAAATAAAACAAACAAAATGAAACAAACAAAAAACCCACAGGGCAACATCTTATTGTGATATCTCAGAATTTAAGGGTTAAAAAGAAGCTTCCAGAGAGAAAGTAAGTAAAACAAAACTTCAGTTTTCCAACCAGGAAACAACTTCTCAACTTTCAACTCTACTACAAACTAGGACAAGTGAAACACACGCCCACACACGTAAAATAACAAAGAAAGTATCCTGAGATTTCAGGTGCATTCAAATAAGCAATGCCTTTTTTTAAAACAAAATTCTTGTTTCTGTGCACGCATTTTTAGGCCAGTATGCTTCAGCAAAATGAAGAGTGACTTAAGAAAGACCCAAGACCAAGGAGCACCAGAAAATCTGTCACAGGCAAGTTTTATAAAGAAGTCCTAGAACTTCTTTAGAACTGCTATATCAAAGACAATCAGACTAGAACAGGAAGAGAAAACACTCCAAGAGAACATGATATAATATATATAACCATGTGGTAAGTTGTTTTAATAAAATACCTGAGGAAATACAGGAAGATTTCATAATAAACACTACCAAGCAAATGCAAGAGGCAATTTAAAATCTAGTATAATCAGGTATAAGTAATGAGAGATTACAATATATATTTAGACAGTCTTGAAAATGTAAATAAATTTTTTTTAAAGCACGAGATGACCAGACAAGGACATGGAGAAGGTAAAAAATAATTTTTTGTCTACATAAAAGTACATCAATACATTAGACCTAAACTTTACACACAAAAATAACAGTATAAGCTTATTGCTTACAGACAAAATGGTACAAGCAATAATAAAAGCTAAAAGTTAAAAGTGGTTTTTCTTTGAAATAAAAATGGATGAGGATAGATGAGGCAGTAGACTACAGTTCTTCATTATGAGCTCTTAAAGAATGCTGACTTTCTGAACTGAATATAGTATTAGTTCACTAAAAATATTTTATTAAAATTATGTGCTCCAAAATATTTTTCTCATCCATGAAAAAATTTTCATCAGTAATGGTGTGGAAGACACATGATAAGTATTACAACCTACTCCACAAGGTATATCCTATTGGAAAAAGGATTTGTTAAAATATTCCCTTTTGTGTCCATCATGTATTTGTAGCATTTTTCCTCTGGAGAAGGAGATATGAGTGGCTGGACAATTTTCTTACCCGGTGGCATAAGTTTCATAAGCACTCTTGCTCCATCTCTAAGAGCTGGCACATTCAGGCTGCTTCCTAAGTCTGCAACTTGCCAAAGGAAAGATATATATCTAGGATGCAGGGACATTATCTAGAATATACAATGCACAATATAGTTATCTGTAAACTACACCAAAAAAGCTTTTTATTAATCAAAGTTAATCTATTCATTCTCCCCCAAATAAATTTTCTACTGGTCTCACATCTTTGCATACACCACTTATATTCACCCAAATGATCTGTGTTACCTATCTTTTCAGTTTTATAATGCCATCGATTCTTTGTGGAGTATACCAACATTAATAAAGCAAATATAATTTACAGTGCCTAACTTTTTAGAATTGCACACAGAAATGCTAAGGTAGGGAAAAACATAAAACTTTCCCAGGACTAAAGTCTCTGCTGTAGATATAAAAAAAATTGTAACACAGCAATATGCTTGCTCTAAGGGCAGTCGTCCTTGGTGCCACTAAACCTAACTATGGGAAAGTATGCGAACTAAAGGTTCAAGGTTAATGGCTGGGGGGATGTTCCTCATCTAGCCTCAGCTGTTTCTTTGAGTTTCTTGGGGAACTAAGTGTTGCCTTGATAATTATCTCATTGTTCTTTTTTGTAACCACTTATGTTCCTTTTCTGTAACTTTCTTGCCTGGACAATAAAAACAGAGAGAATCCTCCCTCCAGGTTATTCCTGGGGAATTCTTTTCTCTTGAAAGAATTCCTTCTGGGCCTCTCACTGCTCTGGAGAAATGGGCTTTGAGTAACACTTTGCATCTCCATCACCCTGGGAGAGGTGACAATTCTTCACGATGCAAACTTTATACACCATTTATCAAGCTTTCTAAATAATTTTGAGTAGTTTATTTGCAACAGTATTTCTACTGTTTTATGAACTACTCTGTCACATAGTACTCAGATGCTGTTTATACAAAAGGGCCCTCACGCCCTCTGCAGTTAAATTCCTAACCCAATCATTGCAGGGACCCAAATCCCTTTGACACTGAAGTGTCTGGTATAATTGTAAGCCTAACAATTTTTAAGGGGAGGGGGGGAGAAAGGTTAAGAAAGGTAGTTGTTATTTATCTCGATATGAGATACTATGAAGAATCTGAGGACAGAGGATACTTTAAAACCATTCTAAAGGAGAATGATAATACAATAGTATTTTATAGTTGTGTACTTAATAGTATAATTAAATTATAATAGATTAACTATGTAATATTATCATAAATTCAAAAATTAAGCAATCCACTCACAAATTAATAGTTAACTGTATAATTACTTGATATATTGTCCCATCTGTAAAACTGTTAGCTCCTCAGAAGAACCACTCAACACAATTATTTATATTGCCCAAGAGAGTATGCCTTTCATAATGAACTACTTACCACCCCTGGCAAACAACTTTCCACTTCTGGATTGGGACCATCACTGTAGTGATTACAATGGTTTCTAGGAGATCCAGTTGAGGAATCAGAAGAGCTATTGGGACTTGAAGGCATGCTGAAATTTATTTGTGTAAGTCTGGCTGTAACTAGCTGAAAATGATAGTGTATTTAGTAGCACAGACAAGGAAAAACATTTCCAAAAAAATACAAAAATTAGTTATATAAAAAGGCTAAAATATCTTATGCTTTCAATTTAGAAATTTACTAAAAGCACTGTCTGACATTTTCACTTAAAGTGTTGCAGAGGTAATAAACTATTAAGTTCTGTGTCATCTGTCTTTTTCAGGGTTCTAACTCAAACAACAGAGAATCTTAATAGTTAGATTTTTAAAAAACACTTACTGATTGAAAATAACGAAAAAGTAGCCTAAACACTTAACTTTGGGGAATATCTAAAAATTATATGTACTTACTGATTTATCTTTTAAGTTTAATTGTCCAATTAGCTTTCTGTCATCTTCAGAATCTATCAGGTCACCACCCACAAACAGTTCTATTTTTGTATGGGCTACATTGGCTTTAATATGATTGAGAATACATCGCCGTACTGAACCAACTGTATCGTTTGTATGAGACCATATGTCCAAGTCATCAACCTGTCTACCCTGGTTTGGAAACCGAACTATAAGAGAGAGGTGTTTGCCACGAAATGCTCTGAAAAAAAAAAAAATTAAAGTTAAAAATTAAAAAAATGCACAATCACATGCAGCAGACTGCCAAGAAAATAAAGCTGGGAATTGAATATTTTCTTCTTAAAAGGACTATAGTTAAACTTCTTTTGTTTGTGTGCTTCTTCTTTTTTTTTTTTTTTTTTTTAGGGCACCTCAAATCAGAAGAAAAAACTTGTTTTGAAGATTTTGAGAAAAACATTATTCTTTATTTAAATTATAAGCATCATAATGAATCTTGGAAATGCAGCAATCATATTCCATTTTTGTTAATCTTTGGCTTTATGGTTGCAGAACCAAAGGTTTCTACTTATAAATTACAATGAAGACAAGAGTAATACCTCATTTATTTTTAAGCTACTCACTGTGGAGGATGAGTTCCAGCTTTAAAGTATCAACAAAAATAATCCCTGCACCCAAACTCAAAACAGTGCTCTGTACCCTGGGGAACATGGGGAACAAGCAATTCACCTCCACAACAAGAGGAGCCAATGTAGGCATTTCCTAAAGCCTGAGAGCTGACCACTAGGGTACCTCCACTGCCTCTGCTACTGGCCCCACCACAGACCCAAGAACTGGCCTGCTGCTTCCAACTGCTTCAGCAGCAAAGCTGCAGAAGTGGCTACTGCCCCATCGCCCCCACAAATCCACCCACTCCAGGAGTGCAACCATCACTGCCCCTGCCCACTCCAGTGGTGAAATCACCACCCATCTTTTCATCCCTCCCAGGGTTTATCTGCCCTGGCTGTCAACAGCTGTACTCACTTTAGTGATGTAACCAATCTGTGCCAACATCCCTCCTCCAGTAGCCCAAGGACAAGCCTACGTGGGATCTATAGCCTTTGGCAATCCCACATTTTGGGTAGCTGAGCTGCCACGGGCCTGAGAACCAGCTGCCATGGTAGCCTCCACCTCCAAGAAATCCATGCCACAGCCCCAAGAAAAACCCACTGCCTAAGCCACTGAAGCACTTGCAGACAACTCCAACACTGAATACAGCCGAAGAAATCACAGAGACAACACTATTGCACCCATCTTGAACCAAAGCCAAAGCACTTTCCCCAAAAGACACTTTAGGACACAAATACAGGAAAGATTCTTTCTCTATAAAAGCTTCTCAATAAAATTAGAAGATAGTCCATGAGAAGTGCAGACAAACTATAGTAATACAAGAAACACGAAAAAGCAAGGAAACATGATACCCACAAATTAATAAAATAATTCTCTAGTACTAAACCCCAAAGAAAAGAAAATCTATGAAACGCTTTTAAAAAATTAAAAACAACGACCTTAAGGAAACTCAGTGAGATACAAGAGAACGCAGATAGACAAATCAATGACTCAGAAACTAAAAAAAAATTCAGCAGATGAAATACAGCATACTTCAAAACAGATCCTTGTATATAGACGAAAAAAGAAGATAGAGGAAAGCCTATGAGATTTATGACACAACACTGAGTGAATAAACATTCAGTTTGAGAATTTTACAAGATGAGAAAAGTCACAGAAAACCTATTCAATAAAATAGCTGAAAACTTCTCAAGTCTTGGGGGAGAGATATGGTCATCCAAATCCAAGAAGCTCACAGACCCCCAAAACAGATTCTTGAAACAAATGAAAATAGAAACACACCAAACTAAAACCTATGGGATACAGCAAAAGCAGCACTAAAGAGAGATTATTGCAATAAATGATTGACTACATTGAAAAAGTATAGTCTCCAAATAACCTAATGCTGCACATGAAGGAATTAAAAATGCAAGTACAAATCAAACCAAAAAATAGTAGACAGAAAGAAATAATAAAGATCAAAGCAGAACAAAATGAAAAAAGAGTTTAAAAAATATACAAAAGATCAACCAAATGAAAACTTGGTTTTTTGAAAAGATAAACAAAACTGACAAACTATTAGCTAGACTAAGAAAAAAAGGGAGAAGACCCAAATAAATAAAATGAGAAATGAAAAAGATGACATTATAACTGCAAATGAAGAAACACGAAAGGATAGAGACTATGACAAACAACTATGTGACAAAAAATTGTAAACCCTAAGGAAAAGGAATAAATTCCTAGACACCTATAACCTACCTAGCTTGAACCAAGAAGAGAAAACCTAAAAAGATCTATGTCATGTAACAAGATTGAATGGAAAAGTCCCCCATGAAAGATAAGCCTAGGATCAAATGTCTTCACTGCTGAATTATCCCAAACTTTTAAAGAAGAACTATAACCAGTTCTTCTCAAACTATACCAAAAACTGAAGAGGATGAAATTCTTCCAAACTCATTCTATGATGCCAACATTATCCTGACACCAAAATTAGAAAGAACACAATGAAAAAAGAGAAAACTATAAGCCAATATCCCTGATGAACACAAATGCAAAAATCCTCAAAAACATAATAGCACACCAAATCTAGCAGCACATCAAAAAGATTATACACCATGATCAAGTGGAATTTATCCTACGATGCAAGGATGGTTCAAAACATGCAAATGTATAAATGTGAGACATTATCAACAAAATGAAGGACAGAACACAAATAATCATCTCAATAGATACAGAAAAAGCACTTGATATAATTCAACATCACTTCATGATAAAAACTCCCAGCAAATTAGATATAAAAGGAAAATATCTCAATGCAATAACCCACAGCTAGCATCATACTGAACAGGTAAAAGTTGTGACCTTTTCTTCCTGTAAGTACTGGAACCAGACAAGAATGCCCACTTTCTCCACTTGTGTAAATGAACTCAAAAGTACAGATAACAAAAGCAAAAATAGACAAGTGATATCACACTAAAAAGCCACTGCACAACAAAGGAAATAATCACCCTGGCAAGAGAGAGGAAATATTTGTAAACTATTCACCTGATAATAAATTAATATTTAGAACATATAAGTAAGTAAAACATCAAAAACAAACAAACAATCCAACTAAGAAATGGGCAAATAATCCAAATAAAAATTTCTCAAAAAACAAACAAATGACCAATAGGTATGTGAAAAAATGCTCAGAAAACATCAAAAACAAACAAACAATCCAACTAAGAAATGGGCAAATAATCCAAATAAAAATTCTCAAAAAACAAACAAATGACCAATAGGTATGTGAAAAAATGCTCAATATCACTAACCATCAGGGAAATGCAAATCAAAACCACAACAAGATGTCATCTCACCCCAGTTAGAATGACTATTATCAAAAAGATAAAATAAATGTTGGCAAGAATGGGGAGAAAAAGAAATTCTTAAACACTAATGGTATGAACGTAAAGTAGTACAATCATTATGAAAAATAGTAGGGAGTTTCCTCAAAAAACTAAAAATACAATTACCATATGATCCAGCAATCCCATTATCGGGTATTTATCCAAACAAAAGGAAATAATTATATTGAAGAAGTATCTGTATACCCATGTCTACTGCACTACCATTTACCATGACCACTATAACTGAATCAACCTAAGCGTCCATCAACAATTAATGGATAAAGAAATTATGGTATATATACACAATGGAATACTACTCTGCTTTAAAAGAACAAAAGCTTGTTATTCATGGCAACATAGATAAGCCTTAGGACATTCTGTTAAGTGAAATAAGTTAGGCACAGAAAGGTATATACTGCATGTTCTCATGCGGAAGCTAAAAAAGTTGAGTTCACAGAAGAAGAAAGTAGAATCGTAGTTATCAGAGGATGGGAAGGAAAGGAGGAAATAGGGAGAGGGTGGTTAAATGATACAAATTATAGTTAGATAGAAAGAATAAGCTCTACTGTTCTACAGTGCTGTTAGGTGATGATAATTAATAATTTATCATGTCATTTTAATTAGCTAGAGGAAAGGATTTTGAGTGCTCCTAGTATAAGGAATCGATAAATTACTGAGGTCACAGATGTGCTAATTACCCTGTTTAATCATTACACATTATTTATATGTATTAAAATATTACTCTGTATCCCATATGTACAATTATTATGTGTTAATTAAAAGAATAAAATTAAATTTCAAAAAAAGCAATTTTATATTTTTCAGTTAAAAAAGTGACCCTTTAAGACAAAACTTGATGTTGATTATATTAAATTTTCCCTAAACTAGAAATGTTTAAGTACTTGTTTAGTTACTTAATTTATGATTACATGATTATAATTTATATCACATATTATATTTTATATAACTTATAATATTAAAATGATTAAATTATCAAATTATTTTATAGTAATGGTTTTTAGATTTAAAGATATTTTTAGCAGAGACCATCTAAAAATATTTTTCATCATATCTACTCAATCAGCAACTCTGAAGATTTTTATTTTTGTAAAATTTAAAAAAATTTTATCAATACACAATGTAGTTGATTTTCATGTCCCTTCTCCTCGCTCCCTCTCTCCCTTATCACCCTCTATGGTTTATATGTTTCGGGATTTATTTATTTATTTTTATTAGCTCCCACAAGTGAGTGAGAATACGCAGTATTTCTCTTTCTGTGCCTGGCTTATTTTACTTAACATAATTTTCTCTAAGTCCATCTATGTTGCTGCAAATGGTAGTATTTGCATTATAGCATAGTAGTATTCCATTGTGTAGATATGCTACATTTTCCTTATGCATTCATCTGATGATGGGCATTTAGGCTGGTTCCAACTCTTGGCTACTGTAAATAGTGATGCAGTGAACATGGGAGTACAGGTATTCCTTTGTCATGATGATTTCCATTCCTCTAGGTATATGCAACTACCCATGCACCTACAGCCATCTGATCTATGATGAAGGCACCAAAACTACACACTGGAGAAGAGACTGTCTCTTCAGAAAATGGTGCTGGGAAAACTGGAATTCATACACAGGCAAATGAAACTACACCCGTACCTCTCATCATACACCAAAACCAACTCAAAATGGATTAAAGAATTACATATACATCCTGAAACAATAAAACTTTTTAAGGAAAACATAAGGGAAAAACTCCAGGTAGTAGGATTGGATATAGACTTTATGAATACGACCCCAAAAGCACAGGCAACCAAAGTAAAAATAAACAGGAGTATAGCAAGCTAACAGAGTGAAAAGACAACCAACAGTGTGGGAGAAAATATCTGCAAATATACATCTGACAAAGATTAATATCCCGAATATACAAGAAAGTCAAACAATTTAACTGCAAAAAAACAAGTGACCCAATTAAAATATGGGCAAAGGAGCTGAATAAGCATTTCTCAAAGGAAGATATAAGAATTTTATTTTTAACACTGTAAAGAATAACATCAAAATAAAAAATGAATCAACTGCAAAATACCAGTACCACACTTACTGGGTGATAATTTGGAAAAAGAGAAAAACAAAAAATTGTAGTTAACGAGTGAAAACGCCTTACCAAAATACAAATAAAAACTTATGCTATTACAAAATGTATACCTTTTTTAAAGTTAGTATCTGTAAGATGTACAAAATGTTTTTAAAAAGGGAACAACACTGAAATACAGAAATGAAAATATTCCTCACTTTCCTTTTTTTTTTCTTGGCCACTGGCCGGTATGGGGATCCAAATACATGACCCTGGTAGTACAAGGCTCTAACCAACTGAGCAAACTGGCCAGCCCCTTGCTTTCTTTTTAACCTAAATAACTGTTTAAGATGATATTAAATAATTACCAATTAACACTACATCAATTTCCTACAAACCTTGACATAGGTAGAATCATTCTTTCTTCATGATAGTCACTGTCACATTCATTTATGTACTCCCTTAAAACTGTTAATACTCGAACCATTCGAATGGCTTCCTGTCTTGCACAATTAATACTATCTTTGTCACCATCCAAAACACACAAAGTATCATATGAGGCTTTCAAACGATCAAAGCAAGATTGAATGAAGTCTTCATGGATAACCACCTACAAAGAAAGAAAGATCAAGTTGCTTACAAAATTAAACAATCAAATGTGACATTAGTCCAAAGGCAATATAATATCAATGTAACTGTCACCCACAATCGTATTTAACTACTAATAAAGCAAAAATTTCCTAGCTGGAAGCTGATAAAACTTGTTTATTGTGAAATAAGCAAGTTTAAACCAATTTTTTAAAAAAATGAACCTCTGTACTAAGTGTCAGACAAATTAAATCAGACTTTTGGCTACCTCAAAAAACTGTAATAAATAATTATATACAAAGTAATTCTAATTACGTAAGGATAAGTATCGAGACAATATTCCTTTAGTTAGGATGTGCAACGGACAAATGTGAATTAAATACTTAAATATTTATGACAAGAGTTAAAATATTAATTTCTAGTTAATTCTGGGTTACAGAAGATACTACGCTAAGGTCAAGATTATTATTATTATTTTTTGTCTTTGTCGTAACCGACAAGGGGATTGCAACCCTTGGTGTGGTGTCGCCTGCGCTGCGCTCAGCCAGTGAGCGCACTGGCCATTCCTATATAGGATCCGAACCCGTGGCGGGAGCGACGCTGCACTCCCAGCGCTGCACTCTCCCGAGTGCACCACGGGGCCGACCCAAGGTCAAGATTATTTAACCTAACTGTAGTGGAGGCTTTCACACACTTCAGACTCACCTGATTGACCTGTAACCTGGGACCAAGGTTTGTGTATATCTCTTTGAGAAGATCTATAGCTCTGCTGGCAATGTCATCATCACTCTGAATCACGACCTAGTTCCAAAGTGATTCTAGTATTAATACCATTCATAACACATTTTATTTCGCACTTAAATTCAAATCATATCATCAATTATTTTAATAAAATCTGCAATAATTTAAGGAGAAATAAGTTTTGATTCTCAAATAAGATTATGCAGAGTTAAAAAATTAAAGAAAGGTTAATATAAAACACAAGCTTTCATTTTTTTTTTTTTTTTTTTGGCAGCTGCCTGGTATAGAGAGATCCAAATCCTTGACTCTGGTGTTACAACACTGTGTTCTAACCAACTGAGCTAACCGGCCAGCACCCTACAAGTTTCCTGAATAAAGCAATTTGGTTAAGAATGAAAAGGATATAAAATACTTTGACCAATACTATTTAACTCAGCAATTTGGTAGCCCAGCTCTGAGGTTTTCGAGGGATAATTCAAACAAGCCCAAAAAAGCACAAGAAATACTTTAACATAAAGAGCTATCCTGCCACCTGTACCAATTTCCACACACCTTAACCAATGATCTGACAAATCAATGGCTTTTGAAGTATGTTTAGCATCTTAGAGCTTTAAGGGTGTTTCACCCTCTAAAAAGTCTAAAGAGGAAAAAGAAAAGGGACAATGGGAAACAGAGCAAAGAAGATTAGACTTTCCTTTATCACTTCAACTAGCTTTATATCTTTTTTTTATTTAGAAGGGTTATTGGTGGTTAGAAATATTTGAAAACCACTTTTATGGAAGACCATAGGAAACAAGATAGTCTACTTAAAGTATAACCACAGAAGAAATAATAAAATAAATTTAAAAAGTAACATAAGCTGTAATTTAACAGGTTAGATTTTTATAGATGGCACACCAAGATGTATTTACACTATTGAAATGGAAAAGTTAGCTTTACATATAACATTTTACATACAGCATATGACATTCATATCCAGCTATTTAAATGTAACACAAATTAAATGGTCAGAAAAGATATTAATTCATAATCACTTCCTAATAATAGTCCTCTCTTCTGCTCATTATTCATTTTGGCATTAAATATATAATAAACTCTAAGATCTATCTTATATAAAAGTAGAGGAGATAATTTTCATGGGGGACTAGAAGGATAACAGATGTGTTGATAGATTACTTAGAGCATTTCTATACATCTGAAAAAGGAGACAGATTCTAAGAGGATACAACATGAACATCAGGAGCAGCGAGAAACACACACACACACACAGAAGTGAGGGGTCAAAATCCACTGAAAAATATGTGTTACACAAGAAGCAGCTAGAGATGAATAAGTATCCCCCCTTAATTTCTAGGACAACTATCAAAAATGGATAAATATATAAAACTCGAAGGCAAAATTATGATTCTGTAACTATGGTCATGCGTCATTTAACAACATCATAAAGTATACTTACATGAAGGTAGATGGTGTAGTCTATTACACACCTAGGCTACTTGGCATATTCTATGGCTTTTAGAGATACAAACCTGTACAGCATGTTAATATACTGAATACTGTAAGCAACTGTAACACAATGGCGAGCATTTTTGTATCTAAACATAAAAAAGGTACAGTAAAAGTATGGCACATATATACTCTTATAGGACCATAGTCATAAATGCAGTCCATCATTGACCAAATTATGTGGTGCACCACTATATTTTTAAAAAACTACCTCAAGTTAAATGACTGAAAAATAAAATTTCCTACTTCTCACTTACCCTCCAAAGGTAGTCTAATCCTATTAATTCCAAATCATCCATCATATAGGCTCTTCTTTTTGCTATTAGTTTCCCTTCTTGACAATTAACAGCTTTGAAGAATCTTTCAAAACATTTCATTCCATTTTCAGTTAAGAGGGAAGGATCAAGTTGAAGCACATTACTTTCAAAGAAGTCTTTATTGATATCAGGATCTAAGTCTGGCTCATCCCCCATTAATTTGGAATACCACTTAAAACAGGCTTCACGATCACAAAGATAAACTGCATTCTCTGCTAAGCACTTCCATATCTGTTTTGCCTGAGGAGCACAGAGCCACAGCTGACCATCCTTCAATAAAAATCTTGGAAAAACACAAATCAGTAATTAGGGTCACAAAAATTTCTCTTCAAAAACAATTTATTTTGATATGTTTGAAATAATACATTTCACACAATTAATTTTAATTACAGCTAAAAAATTATTCTTTCAAAAGAATTTAATTCTTTTTTTTTTTGTTTTTGTCTTTTTTACTGACCAGTAATGGGATCGCAACCCTCGGTGTCGCGCCCGTACCGGGGACCGGCAACGGGATCGCAACCCTCGGTGTCGCGCCCATACCGGGGACTGGCAACGGGATCGCAACCCTCGGCACACTCCCAAGCGGCGCACTCTCCAGTGCGCCACTGGGCCGGCACACAAAAGAATTTAATTCTTAATCAGATGCCTGTAATTTAAAATATGCCAGATATTAATTCATTTATTTAATAAGCAGGTATTAGGCAACTACAAAGTACTAGCAATTTTGCTAAGTGATGTGACCTTAATAATAAGACTTTCCCCTATTTTAAAGAAGTTCAGTCTTTGAAATCAGATACTAATTTAGCTTTTGCTTTTATGGCTTCACTGAAAAATGAGGAGTTATAGCTGAGTGACTTTCAGAGATAACTGAAAGTTGTTTTAAATTAAAGCTGCTTAAAATTTTTTACTTTTCTGAGAATATTGCACTCAGTATCTACCAATATTTAACAAATTAGCCTATACATATTTGAACTTATTTTTATGTCAGTAATTATTAGTATGCTTATCACTACTCAGTGATGTCCTCTAGGGTTTATTCATTGTGTGACTATATTCCAACAAAGACAATAATGAAGGTGATGATTCTGCTTCTAGCCTCTTCACTTAATTTCTAGTTTCTTCTAGCACCCCTCTACTCATTCTACTGTATCTATGAAAGTGAAAAAAAAAAAAAAGCTTATTTCCATCTGAATAATAATTTAGCACTTAGTTAACAAAATGATAGTGGCTACACGATTTTTATTTAATGTCAGTGAGTTTCTTCTTTTGAGTCTTAATTCTAACTCCCCAATGTCTCCACAAGAGTGTTGACCCTGAAAAGGGCTGTCTAGCTTTTAGCTCTACCTAATTCTTCATACCCTAATTTATGAATGAACAACATGAGACCTAGTACAATTAAATGTAGTCGTTTGCAAACTAAGGCTTTGAAAAAATCACTGGAGTCAGAGAAAGATCAAACACTTTAAAGTCAGTCAGACTTCACGGGAGTCTTGTCTCCATCATCTACCAGCTGGGTGATTTCAAATACTCATAAATTATTTTCTCCAAACTGAATCTGAGTTTTATTACTAGTCAAATGGGAATAATACCTGCCTCACAAAGTTGCCATGATGATTAAAGCAATTAGCACAGGCCAAATATACAGCAGGCATTTACTCTCAGTTCCTTTTCCCATATGAAATGCACTGCTAGGTACTTGTAAAATAGGATTATGAAAAGTCGTCTGGTTCTACATTTTATTAACAAAGGGGAAAAATTCTAACTCATTTTTCTGCTTCTAGAAACCAATAGTACACAATACACTCAATAACAATGGCTCACTTGGGAGAGATTTTCAGATTTTCAACAATAGCTAGACATTACTGAGCAAACTGAATTTAGACTATGTTTAACTTTGGGTTAAAGGACAGGCAATTTTTCCTTATCCCATCTGAAGTGATATTATACATAGCCTCAGACTGCCTTTGTCAGCCATTGTTAGAATACACAAAGCATTAAGGTGCCCCAATGACCCTGGTTTGTTAGCTATTCATGGCAGTATTAAGAAAAAGAGTTTCCCTAACTGATTTTGTTTGTATACTGTGGTTCAAAGTACAAAAATATTTTAAGAATAAGTGTACTGCTAGCATAAATAAATGCAAACACCACTCTGAAATTTAAAATCTATTTTTCTCACAATTCCAAAAAAAAAACCCTTAAAGTTTAGCTCATAATTTAAAAATAATTAATAATGACCAAAAAGACAATATGTGTACTCTTAGTAATGGTTCTTATGTGGGAAATCATATATTAATGGTTCTTATGTGGGAAATCATTTAATGGTTCTTATGTGGGAATGACTACCAACAAAGAATCAAAGAGAATAATTAATACTACATTCTATTATCTGCACCTTACAGAGAACAGCACTAATTGTTTAAAACAAACCTAAGAAAGTTAAGTCGTTCTTGGACTTCTTGAGTGTGACTGTATCTACTTCCAAGCCTCACAGTTTGAGGGTCATAGTCTTCGTGATCTGCAAATTAACAAAAATTATGCATTATGGATTGTTTATCAACATCACTACTTTAGCCAAAAGAAATTAACGTCTATAATCATTTTCACTAATAGGCAACGTGTAATAGCAGTATTTTCTCCACAAAATTTAACGTTCACTTTTCACAAAGTCTAAAGAAAAATATAATCTGCTGAAGGTATTACCAAAAAGTTTTCAGCATAAACCCATTCTTCACACACATTAAAGCAATTTCTGAATACAACCTTTTAGTTTTTCACATCACTTTTTCCTGTTATACTAAAATTTGTCATTGTGTAGGGAAAGATAGTATTTCTGCATTAAAAATAACATTAATTTATTCATCCACAGTAAAATTAAAGTGTGACAGAAGATGCTACTGCATTTTATAAAGTTATCATACTATTATCTCAATCAGAAGGTGTGAGTATCAAGAACAGACTCAGTTAGTTTGAAAAATTTACCTTCTCATTATGATTATAAATAATACATGGTTGGTAAGTAGGCCTGGCCTTGCTTAGAAATTCTTTATTTTTAAAGTATAAAGTTAACATGTGATTTTAATTTTATGTTTTACTTTATTAACATCACATATTGGGTGAAAAAGTCTCAGTATCAGTAGAAATAAAAGGAAAAGAAAAAATCCAAACACATACTGGCCAAAAAATAATGTGTAAGAGACATGCTTTGAAAGGTAGAATTCAACTAAAATACGAATGTACATCATCGTAAGAGTCTGCATAAATTTATTTAACCCAAACGCCAAGCAAAGTAAAGGTAACAAAAGTAGAAGGACTGGATTAAACCCTGTATTTGAAAGTAACCAAATTGGTTTGGAGGGTGAAACATAAAACAGTGGATATAAATGCTACTGACAAGTGCTGTCAACCACTCAGGAATCAAATACCTTCATATTCCAAAATGTTTTTTTTTTTTCTTTCCCCTTTTTGTCTTTTTTCGTGACCGGCAACGGATCGCAACCCTCAGTGTCGTGCCCGTACCGGACCGGGACCGGCAACGGGATCGCAACCCTCGGTGTTGCTCCCGCACCGCGCTCAGTCAGTGAGCGGGAACAGGTCTCCACATGGGATCCAAACCCTCGGCGGGAGCGCCGCCACACTCCCAAGCGGTGCACTCTCCAGTGTGCCACCGGGCCGGCCCCATATTCCAAAATGTTGAAGCAAGTTATGAAGGAATAAGAAATCATACAATTCCTCTTTAGCAATAGATACTCATATTTCTGTTATACATCTCTTGGATCTTGTATTATCTGCATACTGTTACCCAGGATTCTAATTGTGTAAGCACCTTCTGGAAACTGGTAAATACATCCAACTTTTCAAAATGGCAAGTTTTTTTTGTATCTGAAAAACTAGAAGTAAAATCTTGACTGACTATAAAGATGAAATAGAATGTTTGGTATTGTATCTGAATTTGTTCCTCGTGAAGAAAGAAGCTCCACAAGTTATGGCTCACTGCTTTCTACTTCCCTATACATGAGTATTGTTTATTTCCATGAAAGTCATGAAATTGCACCAAACCTCAGGCCCTTAAAAAGTTTTCTTTAAAATGTTGAGACAGCATAAAATTATTTTTTGCTACATTCAAGTTTTCTGTGTTTTCAGAGCACTGGTCTTGAAACATGACTGAACTCTGGACTGGCACTTCAGGAGATTTTCATCCTTAAAGTCTTCTGCCTAAAAGCTTTTTTTTTTGTATGTGTGTGTTTGTTTGTGTGTTTGTGTGAGATTATGTGTTTAACTTTTTATTTTGATGTAATTTCCAACTGGCAAAGTGCAAAAATAACAAGGAACTACCCACTATTTACCAAGACATCTATTATTTACATTTTGCCCATCTATCTTATCGGTATCCTTCTTGAGTGTGACTGTATCTACTTCCAAGCCTCACAGTTTGAGGGTCATAGTCTTCGTGATCTGCAAATTAACAAAAATTATGCATTATGGATTGTTTATCAACATCACTACTTTAGCCAAAAGAAATTAACGTCTATAATCATTTTCACTAATAGGCAACGTGTAATAGCAGTATTTTCTCCACAAAATTTAACGTTCACTTTTCACAAAGTCTAAAGAAAAATATAATCTGCTGAAGGTATTACCAAAAAGTTTTCAGCATAAACCCATTCTTCACACACATTAAAGCAATTTCTGAATACAACCTTTTAGTTTTTCACATCACTTTTTCCTGTTATACTAAAATTTGTCATTGTGTAGGGAAAGATAGTATTTCTGCATTAAAAATAACATTAATTTATTCATCCACAGTAAAATTAAAGTGTGACAGAAGATGCTACTGCATTTTATAAAGTTATCATACTATTATCTCAATCAGAAGGTGTGAGTATCAAGAACAGACTCAGTTAGTTTGAAAAATTTACCTTCTCATTATGATTATAAATAATACATGGTTGGTAAGTAGGCCTGGCCTTGCTTAGAAATTCTTTATTTTTAAAGTATAAAGTTAACATGTGATTTTAATTTTATGTTTTACTTTATTAACATCACATATTGGGTGAAAAAGTCTCAGTATCAGTAGAAATAAAAGGAAAAGAAAAAATCCAAACACATACTGGCCAAAAAATAATGTGTAAGAGACATGCTTTGAAAGGTAGAATTCAACTAAAATACGAATGTACATCATCGTAAGAGTCTGCATAAATTTATTTAACCCAAACGCCAAGCAAAGTAAAGGTAACAAAAGTAGAAGGACTGGATTAAACCCTGTATTTGAAAGTAACCAAATTGGTTTGGAGGGTGAAACATAAAACAGTGGATATAAATGCTACTGACAAGTGCTGTCAACCACTCAGGAATCAAATACCTTCATATTCCAAAATGTTTTTTTTTTTTCTTTCCCCTTTTTGTCTTTTTTCGTGACCGGCAACGGATCGCAACCCTCAGTGTCGTGCCCGTACCGGACCGGGACCGGCAACGGGATCGCAACCCTCGGTGTTGCTCCCGCACCGCGCTCAGTCAGTGAGCGGGAACAGGTCTCCACATGGGATCCAAACCCTCGGCGGGAGCGCCGCCACACTCCCAAGCGGTGCACTCTCCAGTGTGCCACCGGGCCGGCCCCATATTCCAAAATGTTGAAGCAAGTTATGAAGGAATAAGAAATCATACAATTCCTCTTTAGCAATAGATACTCATATTTCTGTTATACATCTCTTGGATCTTGTATTATCTGCATACTGTTACCCCGGATTCTAATTGTGTAAGCACCTTCTGGAAACTGGTAAATACATCCAACTTTTCAAAATGGCAAGTTTTTTTTGTATCTGAAAAACTAGAAGTAAAATCTTGACTGACTATAAAGATGAAATAGAATGTTTGGTATTGTATCTGAATTTGTTCCTCGTGAAGAAAGAAGCTCCACAAGTTATGGCTCACTGCTTTCTACTTCCCTATACATGAGTATTGTTTATTTCCATGAAAGTCATGAAATTGCACCAAACCTCAGGCCCTTAAAAAGTTTTCTTTAAAATGTTGAGACAGCATAAAATTATTTTTTGCTACATTCAAGTTTTCTGTGTTTTCAGAGCACTGGTCTTGAAACATGACTGAACTCTGGACTGGCACTTCAGGAGATTTTCATCCTTAAAGTCTTCTGCCTAAAAGCTTTTTTTTTTGTATGTGTGTGTTTGTTTGTGTGTTTGTGTGAGATTATGTGTTTAACTTTTTATTTTGATGTAATTTCCAACTGGCAAAGTGCAAAAATAACAAGGAACTACCCACTATTTACCAAGACATCTATTATTTACATTTTGCCCATCTATCTTATCGGTATCCTTCTTGAGTGTGACTGTATCTACTTCCAAGCCTCACAGTTTGAGGGTCATAGTCTTCGTGATCTGCAAATTAACAAAAATTATGCATTATGGATTGTTTATCAACATCACTACTTTAGCCAAAAGAAATTAACGTCTATAATCATTTTCACTAATAGGCAACGTGTAATAGCAGTATTTTCTCCACAAAATTTAACGTTCACTTTTCACAAAGTCTAAAGAAAAATATAATCTGCTGAAGGTATTACCAAAAAGTTTTCAGCATAAACCCATTCTTCACACACATTAAAGCAATTTCTGAATACAACCTTTTAGTTTTTCACATCACTTTTTCCTGTTATACTAAAATTTGTCATTGTGTAGGGAAAGATAGTATTTCTGCATTAAAAATAACATTAATTTATTCATCCACAGTAAAATTAAAGTGTGACAGAAGATGCTACTGCATTTTATAAAGTTATCATACTATTATCTCAATCAGAAGGTGTGAGTATCAAGAACAGACTCAGTTAGTTTGAAAAATTTACCTTCTCATTATGATTATAAATAATACATGGTTGGTAAGTAGGCCTGGCCTTGCTTAGAAATTCTTTATTTTTAAAGTATAAAGTTAACATGTGATTTTAATTTTATGTTTTACTTTATTAACATCACATATTGGGTGAAAAAGTCTCAGTATCAGTAGAAATAAAAGGAAAAGAAAAAATCCAAACACATACTGGCCAAAAAATAATGTGTAAGAGACATGCTTTGAAAGGTAGAATTCAACTAAAATACGAATGTACATCATCGTAAGAGTCTGCATAAATTTATTTAACCCAAACGCCAAGCAAAGTAAAGGTAACAAAAGTAGAAGGACTGGATTAAACCCTGTATTTGAAAGTAACCAAATTGGTTTGGAGGGTGAAACATAAAACAGTGGATATAAATGCTACTGACAAGTGCTGTCAACCACTCAGGAATCAAATACCTTCATATTCCAAAATGTTTTTTTTTTTTCTTTCCCCTTTTTGTCTTTTTTCGTGACCGGCAACGGATCGCAACCCTCAGTGTCGTGCCCGTACCGGACCGGGACCGGCAACGGGATCGCAACCCTCGGTGTTGCTCCCGCACCGCGCTCAGTCAGTGAGCGGGAACAGGTCTCCACATGGGATCCAAACCCTCGGCGGGAGCGCCGCCACACTCCCAA